ATGGAGAGGAAAAGGTGGGGGAAAAAGGACCATGTTTTCCCCCAAAAGCTGTCCCCCGGATACAGATATTTTTGGGGGAAAACAGCTATACAGCTGTAAAGTACACACTGCAAGGAGAGAGGCCGGCCACTTTTTGGAGTTGCAGGTGGCCGGCTAGCCACCTCCCATGGCCGGCCGGCTAGGGGTCAAAAAGGTCAAGAAGATTTAGTGGCCGGCCACCACAGATAGGTGTCCTCCCAGGTGCCTTCAACACAACCCTGTGGTTCAAAATTGGCAACAGTGAAACAGGAGAGAAAACAAGCCATTTTTAGGAAGGGTTCAAAAGGTTCAGGTGGAATTACTGGCCGGCCATCAACCTTTGGTGTCCTCCCATGTGTGTACATCACAAATATGTGGTTGAAAGTTCAAGAAAATGGTCCAAGGGTATTCAACATTGGCTCGGAAGTGAGAAAAACGGGCGTCGGAGGGCGCCGGAGGAATATAACTGGTTGCTGAAACAATTGCTGGCCTCCCACCCTTCTACGGCCTTCCTAGTGATGAAACAGAGGTACCTGCCAAAAATGAACGAAAACCGATGCAAAACGAATGTTCGGGGGCCAAAACACGCAGTTCGGGGCCCCGAAAACTGCCTGTTAAGCACCGAAAGTGGCACTCGACCACGAAGTGGGTCTCTCAGACCTCAGTGTCCCTCAAAAGGGAGTAAATAAGAAGTACGCCAAAAACCGGAGCAATAGGAGATGGTTAAGCGGTCTCGAACCGAGGCACACGGCCTGACAGCTCCGAAAACCGGGAACCGGGCTCCGAAATGGGAAAAATAGCCTACGACCACAAAACGTAGCCTACGGCCACTGAGAGATGATCTACAAGACCTCTCCCTCCCTTCGCGAAGAGAAAACAGAGAAAACCGAGCCTGGTTCGCAAACCGAGGCAAAGCACAGAAGAGGGTTCGGAAATCCGGAGGCAGGGCTCACGGCCGCGACTCTGAGACTTCTGAACGAGCACAATATGCAGTATCACCGAGCGCTCAACTGGTGACGTCTGAGTCTCAAGGTCGGTCAAAAATGGGGTGTCTACAGTGTGGTATTTTATTGTACATGTAAGCTAAGAGTGAAAAATATTTTATGATCATCTTCACTCATGTATATATCTATATAACAATGGAAGGGTTCATTTGACAATGTCTCTCAAATTAATGGTTCAGATCTATCTAATTTGGAAAGCAATGGCTCAGATTTATTTGTAAAAATATCTCTCTCACAAACTATCTTTAATGGTTTAGATTTGTTCAATTTAAAAACAATGGCTGAGATTGAAAAGAGTTTCAATGGTCTAGA